CCTCCGCCCTCCCCTCCCCCCCCCCAGTCTTTGACCTGCCCGACCGCGACGCCGAGCACCTGGTGGCCGGCCCCCTGATGGCCCTGCAGGACGGCTGGGAGGACGGCCTCTCAAACCCCCGGGGCTGGCTGCTAGGCATGTTGCAGAGGACGGCGCACTGACGGCGCCCGCAGCTGCAGCGCGCGACGCCGGCGGCGCGGCCGCGGGGCTTTGATTTTGGTGGCGGTGGGCAGGGGGCCGGTGAGAGGGCAAATATGATCATGTTTGGCTGCAAGCTGCCATGTGCAAACATCTGCAGTCGTTGCAAGCCTGCTCCCTGTTGCACACGTGTAAGGCCACTTCTGTTTTGCAACAGTTTGCGTGACGGCCTGTGAGCCCTGAGGTGTTGAGATCAGCGCGGCTGGCAGGCAGCCGGCCGTAATGGTCACCTCGCATCCTGCAAAAGCGATTGTTTTCACGCAGCAGTGTCGGCGGGAGAGGGGAGGGGGGCGCAAACAGCTCCCGGATCATGGCACAGGACGCGCACAGCGCGTTGCACTGATCGAGAGGACTCTCTCCAGAGGCAAGGCGGCGTTCATGGGCTCAGCAGCGGCGGCACTCCAGTCCCGCACTGCCACGTGTACCTCATAACTCAACCGACAGCGTCTGCTGACGACAGTCCCAAGGAAAGGGTAGGGTGGTGGACGTTCTCGAGGATGCCGAGAGCACTCATGGAAGAGCACCGCCTTCTTCAACATGCCCCGCCCGCAAAGCGCCCCTCGCTGGCCAGGGCTCGTGGTCCCATCATGTTGGCGTGCTGCCGACTTTGTGTGTGTGTTTGTGTGTGTGTGTGTGTGTGCATGTGTGTGTGCGTGCGTGTGTGCGTGCGCGCGCGCGCGTGCGTGCGTGCGTGCGTGTGTGTGTGTGTGTGTATGTGTGTGTGTGTGTGTGTGTGTGTGTGTGTGTGTGTGTGTGTACACTGGCTCCTTGATACGCCGGCCGGCGTGCCGCGCAGCCGGTAGCGCGGCTTTGACCGTGTGCGGTTGCAAAGCGACCGCGGCGGAGTCGTCGACGCGACCGTGAGCGTCGCACGGTCCATCTTCTGCCAATATACCTGTTTTTCGGGAGCGTCATAAGCTGGATGTGCATGTCTTGACTCGGACACAGGGCTTGTTGAATCGAGGCGCAGGCAGCAGGAGCCATCACGTTTGACTCAGCGTCCCCGCGATGACGTGATGGATTTCAGCCTCGTAGCCGCTGCTGCTCGTCAGCAATTGTTTGTGTGGAGGTCGCGCTAGAGCTCTGCACCGTCTGTGCTCGACGCCGTCATTGTGCCTGCTGACGGGGACGGCGTGTGGTGGAAGGTGACCAACGAGCGGACCCCGGCTGCCGGTCTTGCCGCTTACTGCCGCGCGACCCCTATCGCGTGACTTGATTGTAATCAAAACGCAATTGAGCCCTTCATCTATTGATCCGTTGGAATTACGCCGTCAGTGAGTCTTCTGTTGCTTCGCCCAGCATCGTGTTTTGCAAGTGGACAGCTCTTAAATAGGAATCAAAGCAGCATTGTAACTTGAATGACCCCGTTGTGATTAGAGGAGTGATCTGTGGGACCGGTGTTGGTTGTGAAACACATCCTGATGCATACCACCTCTCAGGAATTGCTGTTGCAATAGAATCATCGTGATTATGCATCCGGCAGGCCAGTGGTCGCAGGCGCAGCAGTGGCGGCAAAGGCAGGGACAGCGAGTCAGAGGGAAGCGGGAGGAGCTGCGTCGGTCAGCAGGCAGCCTGCGACGCGTCCCACCACAGTGGATGCTCCTCCTGCAGCTGCTGCTCCTACCGCTGCTGCTCGGCGGCCTGCCGCTGCAGGCGGCGGCGCAAGGCGTCCCGGCGCAGTCGCCGGACCCCGCCGCCGCGCGGCGCGCCAACGAGCAGCTCGCGGCGCTGAACGCGCTGCCGGCCGCCCTCGGCTCCCCCGTCCTGCAGTCGCCCGCCCCCGAGGCGCAGCGCATCACCATAGAGGAGCAATTGCAGCAGGCGGAGGCGCTGGGGGTGGCGCTGACCCAGGAGCAGCTGGCGCGGGCCAACCCGCTGCTGGGGACGGCGGGCCGGCTGGCGGACCCGCAGCGCACGTCCCCAAACGACTGGCCGGACGGGTGAGGGATCAGGACGGGGCCGGGTTCAATTGGCTTCGGGCGGGGCGTTTCAGGGCGGCGTGACCCACCCATCGCAGCACTCGCCGGCTGGCGAGCCGCGCACCAGCACTGCCCTGCTTCCGCCGGGTGCCGGCGCGGGTTGAGGCGGCCGCCTGCTTGTGCTTGGTGGATCGTGGCGCGTCGTCGTGCTGCGGGATAGAGCTCGACTTTGCGTCGCCGTGGAGAGCGTGGAAGCGCAGTACAGCACGCAGCACATGGACCAGCCAGCTGGGGTGTGCGCTGTACCTGGGCTCGCTTGTCCCCGTCCGTCTTGACGCCGATTGCCTGGACGCCAATTGCACCTCAACATCACTTGTCTTGATGTTAATTGACGTCTGTGGGTGTCGATTGCACCCTGCCGCCTTAATGCCGACTACGCCGCAAAGAAGTCCGCTGTGTCGCGTTCGCCGGGTCGGCCCCCCGGCCTCACCCCGCTCAGTGCCCCCAGCTGCAGCCCAGCCCTGCCT